TGGAAGTACACTTTAACTGACTTTCGATCCTTTCTATGATCTGTGCATCCTTCATCTTCCATCTATCAGCGTGAGATAAAGTGATTAGGATCTTTTGCCGGATGTGGCTTGTTGGTGCCCGGTGTTCGAGTGGCCTGGTGCTAAGCTTTCTTCAGGTCAATACATTGCACGGCCCTCTTCGCTTGGGAAAGCAGCTTAACTTCTGGCTCTGGCCTCTTTATTTGACTTGGCCCTTTAGCTCATAGCCCCTTCGCCTGACGGCTCAGCTCTTCGCCCCCTTAGGCTGAGGACCTGCTTGCCCTAACCTTCTTCTTCCCCTATCGAGTGGCGTGGCTTCTGCTCTTCTCACTTTGCTTTGTTCGAGTTGCTTTATCAGACAGAACAGTTAGGCAGGTCAGGGCAAGTGAATCAATGCTGGAGCAAGGGCTTTCATTTCAGAGGACTTGAGCGATGAGATCATGTTCTCGCCGCGTCTAGTCGTTCTTTCTCTCTTCCTTCGCTTGGGACTCGCTATCGCCCTTGAAGCTACCCTTTCTTCTTTTTGGAAGTCATGACAGACGGACCCGCTTTGAGTTCGCTTCCTGTTTGGCTTGAGTTTTCCTTCTTCCGATGGTTGAGTCCGAGAGTCCGCTCCTATAACTCGGGCTTGAAGCTTCTCTTAGCGCTGAGGTGAGATATGAGATAGTATAGAAGGGAAGGGGAGTGTTGAGTCCCATCCCACAGAGCGGTAATCCTTCGTAATTTCCAATTTCTTAGCCGATAGGCGAACCATTGAGTCTTGGTCTTTTTTCAGCTTCTTTTTAACTTAACTTAACGAGTCAATGATTGCTGTTGAGCCCATTTATTCGGGTATTGCCACCTCTTAGAAACGAAATCTTTCTGGCTCTCCTACCGGGTTCCGATACGTTCACTGAGATATCGCGTGGTTAAACTTCCCGAAAGCGTATGTTGACCAATTCGATTCCTTCTATTCCCAAAGGCGAATCCTAACCGAAGCAAATTAGGAATAATTGAATTAGCCCCGGACCCGACGAGACTTCTCTCTTTAGTGTTCGCGTATCAAGCGCGCATTGACCAGTTTAGAGCCCGAGATTGGTATGCTCTACATTTGTGAAAGAAACCCAATAGCTCGGGTCTTGTTTTGGCTTTACTGACACCGAGTGAGCCAAGCTACCTCGCCTTTTGTTGATGAAGTGAATGAAATCGTTAGATTCCCGTTTGGGATCACTGCACTTCGAGCTAATGACATAGTAGGTAGAAACTAGTGGCAATAAATAGTTACAGTTCCGGCGGCAAGTACAGTTTTAGTACTTATAGTTAAGTGGTAGAAGCGGTCATGTCTGCTACTTCTCGATTCTGTGGTTCCTGTGATCATCTTGGTCTTTTTCTGAGCCCTAGATCAGAAGCCTTGGCTGCTACTATGTTCTCATTCGTACCCAAATAGACGACGTTGGAAGATCCACTTCCACTATGATATTTTTGGGGACACATCCGCATCGACGAAGCATTCTCTTTTCTTTCCAGCCCTTGGTCGCTCCTAAGATATAGGTTCAGCCTGAAGGCGCTAATACAATCGCAATGATAGAAACTACGATTTAACCCTTAACTCTCGATAGATAGCACTATAGTAGCGCCAAGAGAGCATAGCGTGGAAGACGACAAAGTCACGAGCTGGGCTTGAACCAGCGCTTTCCAGATGCGGTCTGGATTTCAACCTTTCTTCTCTACCAATTTACATGGTTCGCTTTCTTCCAAACAAACCTAAAGGCTCAGAACCTTAGTTAACTTTAACTACTCTGGGACTGAAATAGTTAATCATCGATTTCCTGAGCTGTAGACTGATTGATAACATTTCGTCTTCTATACTCCCGCACTGTATAAGGCTGATACTCACTCGCTGAGAGACTCCAACTCTCAATTCACTCAGCGCTTTATAGATAGGCATTTTTATTGAGAATGCCTTTTTCGGGTTAAAGGTCCCACCTTACCTTTCAAAAAAAATAGTAGCCGAGCCGAAGGAGCTCTCACAAATAGAATTTGAGTACCACGGAAAAAAGCTAGCTGGATAAACAAGACAGGGATCGCCCGCTCGGAAAGCAGCCTTCAACTTTCATATTCCTCCACCAGATGCCTCTCCACCTCTTGAGATACGTCGCTCCTCACGTGTCAAGTATCCAGTCGATCGCTTTCTGTTGAGTCGGGCCAACAAGCCTTCCGTCTGTTATTTCCCATCAAGAACCCATGTCTTTTGCTTCAGCATCCACCCAGGAATGTTAGAGGTTAGCTATGGAGGAAGAGATTCAAGCTCTTGAGAAGAATGATACCTGGGATCTTGTCCGTCTTCCCCAGGAAAGCAGGCGATTGGTAGTAGATGGGTGTAACAAATCAAAAGGAAAGCTGATGGTTCGATCGAGAGGTACAAAGCTCGCCTAGTGGCCAAGGGCTATGCAAAGGAATATGGCGTAGATTATGAGGAGACTTTCAGCCCTGTTGCTAAGCTAACACCATCCTCACTAAAGTAGGGATATACTCCCAAGGAGGGACTATGTAGATACCTTCTGCCCTATTTTATTTTCCCACGAGACCAGGGTCTTACGGTCGGGAGAACTACCTAACTAAAGAAAAATAGTGAGTGCTCTTTCTTTTTTTTCCGGTATGCCGTGTTGGCGCATTACCAAATGCCCTAAGACCTTATTGTCCCTTCACCCCAAAAGCCTGCCTACTTAGCCGTGTCCCCCTCCCATTCTCTTCCTCGTTAGAAAGCCGTTCGGTTGGCGTGCTTTTGTATAGACCCACCATATAGTCTTTTCGACCTCTTAAACTTATTTAAATTTAAGTACCTTTCTTCTCTTCCGCTTTTCTAGCTGATTGAAGCAGGGATAGCCTCCACGTAACTAACATGGCCGTCTTGAGCAAAACAAACTCAGCCCTACTTAGCCCTACCTAATAC